ATATATATATATATATATATATATATATATATATATATATATATATAAAGTAATGAATTGCCTATTTAAGTAAAAAAATTAATTGAAAACTTTATGAAATATCGGACAAGTGTACCGCGACTTATAAAATTACGAAAATGATTTTCTCGAGTTCTAATTTCTTTTCCTTTTTTTTTACTTTTTTTACCATCAGTCCCATCAACGGGCCTCTTGTCTTGCGGGACCCGGGCGATCGCTCGATCTGCACATGCCTAGCGCCGGCACTGCCTGGAGCGTGGATGTTTGTGTGTCCGAATACCGTTACCCGCAAGTTACTTACGGTGGTCACTTATGACCTTATTTGTTGAAAAGCGACTTTAAATAAGTAATAAAAATAGTTACATTTTCTAACAAATTGTCTAAAACGAATTAAGCCCGTAACTTGAAAGAAATGGACATTCTAAATTTGTTTTCCATGTAGTTCTACATTTTAAAATAACATCAACTAACATTGTTTTGTATACCTTCAAAGCCCTGATTTTGATTTTCGAACCCTCAGAATTGACTCGATAGAGCTTACGAAGAATTGAAAACTGTTTGGACCCACTATGATGATTTAAAAAATAATCCAATAGAATTATCTCAAGTCTGGAAAGTGGAAGTGAAATTTACCGACAAACGAATGAAGAAAAAGAAACGACATTTTGAAGAACTTTGCGATGTTCAACGACTCAGTGAGGGCGAACCAAGATACAAACTTTAATGTTAACTACAGATTCTTAATATTATTGTTAACCAATTGGAGTGACGATTTGTTGGATTGAAAAATACAGTGGCAATTTTCAAAAGACGTTCCGACGACTAACCTTACCAAGATGCTCAAAAACTTCAATCAAAATAGGAAGAGGATGTTACGGAAAACTTGTCTCAGTTGTTGTCTTTGCGCGGTTTGTTTAAAAATTCAAATTCAAAACTGCTCTGTTAAAGATTTTGCACTTTTTAATTAAGTTAAAATTATTTAGGAAGTAGAATGGCAAGCGATCGTGTAATTAAGATATTTTATCAATTGAACACGAAAAAACAATGTGGTTGAAAAATAATATTATCATTGATAAATTGCGAAGAAAAGTTTCCTTTTTGAATTATATCATGAAATTACGAAGTTGTTAATTTATTATCTGTAATAATTTATAGTAATGTTTTCACTTCTAAAATTAAGTTTACAAACCCAAAATTATTTTAATGACACGACTTAAAATAAGGGGCTCCGTACTCTGTCAGTCAAAGGGCCTCCTCTCTTGAACTTACACCCCTGAGATAATTTAAATAAGAACACCTGAAGTCAAACATAAATCAAACATATTATTCGTGACTTCATGTAACCAGAATCAATTGGAGGATGTTACCTTCTCCACTTCCGCGGATATCTTGTTCCTCCCTTGAGAATTTTTTCTATAGTACCTTCCCCAATATATCGTCAAACTTCCAATATCCTGAAGTCTCTACAATTTGGGTTTTAAAACCAGAATGTCACGGTAATATTCCGAGCCAAACCTTCAGGCGTCCATTCGGTAGGGAACTCTCTCCAGTCTCTCTCTAATTAACTAGTGCCCAAGCTAACAGAAGTTATATCCTTAATTGACTCTTTTTCCCGAGATCAACTCACCGCCAGGCCTCTGCAACGGAGAGTTTCAAAGCCAATATGGAAGCGAGAGAAGGCGAACTTGTTCTAGTTGAGGCCATTCAGTTGTCTACGCTGAGTTGCCCGTGTAGCCCCCGAGTTGTGATTATGTAGATGGGGTCTATTGTTGATAATAGTGAGAATCATGATGAATAAGGGGTGTCGCCCTAGGTGAGGGAATTGTGATAAAAAGTAAAAAGTGTGAATTGCTAAGTTCAGTGTTTACTTTCAGCTTTGTGGATTGTATTTGTGACCGTGGGAAATTGAGAATAACTCATTGTTGTATTGTGATGATTGACTGAAAGTCAAGTCTTCCTTCATTATATACACGATTGTCTCAAAGAGCTATGTCTTCTTTGTTGCCCTATTATCCTGCTTACTTGAATCGCCTAAACACTCCGTATAGAGAAAGTCCTCAAGAAAAGAAATACATTTAGAAAACGAATATCTGCTTGCTGTTATTGAAGAAAGTGCAAAAGGAACCATTGCAAAATTAAATTAAATATTTTTCAGTACTTTTAATGAACTAAAAAGCAAACTTGAGTCACTTATTGTGGATGATTATTGTTTGATTATTAATAAAAAGACAGTATTCTTTTTCAACATATTGATCGTAAATCTGCCTCCAAAATTATCAATTTAGTTGTGGTGGATAGGAATTGAAACTCAGTTTTCATTATTGTAAAATATTTATTACAGACACTACTATATCAGTGTACATTAGTGCATGTAATACAAATGAAATTAGTGATGTTTTAGACAAGGATAAATTGTTTTAATACAAGTAGTAGTAATAGCCCTCATGATAGTTTTGCTTTAATTTCAGGCCCCATACTTTAAATCGATACCCCAAATTCACAATTTGAAAAACCTGTTGATTTTATGATAGTACAAAGAGAACTTTCTACTAAGAAAAGAAGTGCATATCACACAGATCATTTTTTCCCCATATAGTATTGTATGCTATTTACTTTATAAATATTTCAAACATTTCGGGTTCACAATATTTCCTCATTCTACTACAATAAGGATATTTTGTTCATTTGGTTTAGATAGTTCTGCCGGATTTAGCACAGCTATACGCTAGAACTATACGTTTTACATAAAAAAACCACATCTGAAGTGCATGGCACCTTGGATAGACGTATAGACGACTTTAGGCCCAGGCCAATAATTGGTACCTACGTAAAAGGACGCCTACCTAGGTACCTAAGTAAAAGGACGTATTTGGACCCTACGTAAAAGTATTCGCCTGGATACCACAATTTTACTTAGCATTTCAGTTCGTATTGTCTTCTTAGGCGGCCATTTTGATCAGGTCTTGTATGTCTCGGAGGTGTCGGATTATACAACGCCCTAGATGGCGTTTGATAATACAACTCAAATTTATATTTTCATTTTTCAGCAGTAGAGTTAATGGAAGTTATGAAAAATGTTTACAGTGGTGCAGGGGAAAAACTCGTTCCCTTGAGAGCCTGCCTAAGAAATACAAATTTTATGTAAACCCCGAAGGCCCAAGTTTTCGAATTACTTTGGAAATGCTTTGAACGTAATCAGGGTTATTTTATGTTACTCGTCGTGAAACTGGACTCGCCTGTCGTGTGTCGCCGTGCCCTACAAGTAGCTTATGTAATTACGGTATGATGTATTCTATACATTAAAGTGTAATGAATGTGTAGATATTTCATTATTGCATTTCCACTCGTGGGTATTCGTTGTACATGGTTACAACAACACACTAGTTCTGTTATGGTGGCTAAATCAATTCACACTTCATTTTTGAAGTCCGTGAGGTAGGTAATGTGGCAGATTAGGCGAAAATGGCATCGATTCCCCATATAGATGAATCCGCCTAAGAATGAGCCAGAGTGACAGTTCGCTAAACAAATGAACATCACATGTAATTCAGAGACGCATCCCTCCCTACACCATCTGTTCAGCCATGCCTGTTCGTAAAGAGTTTATGTTTGTATATGGCTCCCGTTGCGACATCGTGGGTTCTCATGGTTCACGGCCGTGTTTTTATATAAAAAAATAATTGGATAAAACGCAAAGCATCGAACGTTCTCGACCACAGCTCGCCACCTTGCCGCACACGTGCAGGAAGCACGTGCACCAGTACGCATCTAACATTCAAGACTCGTTTTTCAAAAAAACATAATACTTATCGCACAAATAATAAATTCAATGTAAAAAGCGAATTTGTACAGAAGGGCACAGAAGCAGTGCACTTCTTAATTTCAATTATTTCTCGTGGGGAACTACATTTTCGTCGGAAGAGGACATGACAAAAGGAAGCGTCGAAGCCATTTACAAGTTAGCCAACTGCAAACTAACGAATGAAGGAAGGAGAGTCAAATGGGCTCAAGAATCACAGAACCTTCAGTGATGTTGCCAGCACTAGCTGTCAAAACGGTCCGTTCTTATAAACATCGCTCTATCTGTAAACGCTATTTGCTCATTTCAACCACATCAAATACGTATTAATTCTTCAAACAATGCAAATGTATTACATGACACATCCTATTACAATGTGTGCTCACGGAAAGCAAAGAAGTTCAATGCATCCACACTATGCAGAAAAAATATCCCTACTGACTCCTGTTGCCATGTAAGGGTTTAATTTACTATTAAATAAGTTAAATTGTGTGTTCTAGTATTGACTTTAATGAATTATTAATATAGGAATTTCTTTACGACCGTTCATTTTGACAGGATACCCCTTTGTTTTAATACATTTAAAAACACACTTCCTATTTCCATGTTAACCTTATCAAATCATTTATTACGCAAAAAATGAAAAAAACAACTGAAGAGTAATGCCATGTTCAACTTATATTATGTAATACATATAATATAAGAATGTTTATTGCAATTGTAACTACTAATTGCATTATCTTTGCACAGGAAACGTTTAATTCATCTGATCCTGAAGAAACTGTTTTATGCCACGATTATCTGGATTATTTTATCCACGCTCTACTTTCTGTTGTTTGCGGTATGGTGCAGGTGATTCGAAAAAGAAAATCAACTTCATCACAAAGCCACAATTTAAACTGGAATGCCCTTATCTTGTTTCTTTAAAAATATAATTTTCCCAGAAGAACTTACCAAAAATAGTGAATATGCATTTTTGTGCGATAGTTTGTAATCTACACCCGTGACATTAATAAATATTATAATTTTTCCTTGTCTACCCTCATTCTTCACCCCTATTCCTGGTGGTAAAACGGGTTATACTACACTGAATATGTGAGTTGCTCCAGTAATATTGCAGTGGTATGAAGCGAATGACACCCGACACCCCCTCAAGGGGCAATAGTACAAGCCTGAAGTAGTTTAAGCTGGACAATAAATACAACGTGCGAAGAAATGCAATTGATGTATCTGCAATCGAATTTAAATAAGACTTAAAATTTTAATTCTGTTATAATTTTATGTTCATTTACAACAAATATTCAATGATCACATGAGCGGAAGGTACTTCAAACTAGACCATTTTCGCCTATAAATGACTCTGAAAGCGGTAAGCAATATTTCCATACATCTATAAAAACATAAAGTCCGTTGACATTTGGTCAGCTGGGACGCTGTCATCCAATCGGGAGAATGAACGTCACTATAATGACGTCATTATGGTCAAGCTCACCGAGTGTAAACCAACTTAATGTTTTAATCGAAATATGTAGAACATTGTAACCTTCGCCTGTCGAGTTCACTGTTAGGTCTATTAGTGTGAGCAGGTGTGTTTACACGTATTAATAATAATAATAATAATAATAATAATAATAATAATAATAATAATAATATATTAGAATACAACAACAGCATTTGTTAAACGGAAAGTCTTCATCCTATATTATAACGTGTAAAGGAATCATAGAAAACAAATCTTTGCTACCTTTAAACACAACCGAACACTGATGGGTAAGGGAGCTTAACGTTTATGTCCTCCATGTCAACTTTATATGTTGCAGAACCTACATACATTTTGAATTATAGAATCAATATATGTGCATATTTTTTTAAAAAATTGCCCAATAAGTTTTCAGATTTATCCTTTTCTTCTTCAGAACTACTGCTGAACTATGAATTGTCATCACAATCTTTAACAACATTCAAAACTGCACTATTAATATTTCTACTGATTGCCTTTCGTTGATTCCGTTGCTTCATGGCATGGCCAGATTTCATAATGAAAGCAAATGAATTCAATTTAATACCACATTTATGTACTTAAGGACGGACGTTCCCAGGAATATCATCAGTCACTGACCCTAAGTTCAACAATTTGCAAACATGAATGAACATAGCTACTGTTAATTGTAATGTACGGACAGACGTTTCATCCTCAATCGATTTTTCGGTGTCAAGGACACAAACAATTCTCGCATCACCGCGTGCTAGAGGAAGTAATTTTCTGAAGTCATGTATACGGGGCTTAGTCATTAGGAGCCAAAACTTTTTAACACATTGTTGTTTTCCAGCGTTTCGGAAAATGTATTTCCATCCTCAGGGCTAAACAAGATTAAATAGAAACAATAAAATCAGATAAAGCCACAAAAATGTGTTAGTTGTAATAACCCTGTCTTGGCAGTTGAAAACAATTTAGAAGGAATTAATACATGATTACCATATCTTGCAACCACCAGCAGAGTTCAGATACAAACAAATACTATATATTCTTTACGATAGGGCGCACCATGGGATGTGAGAACCATACGTACATATTCACACCATCAACACACGCCACGACTATTAAAATATACACAGAAATGTTTACATGCTCGCTGTTCAACTTTAGTGACATTCATCTTGAAGGAACACAGTCTCTACGATACTACTGAACCAATATCAATGAAAGGTTTGTGCAAAGTTCCTTTAAAGGTCAGGAATGCTATAGACTAACATGTACAAACATTACTCTTAATATTCTCAAAATAGTATTATTTTCCTGAATTTTTTCGTGTTGATTTATATCTCAGATTCTAGAGTACATCAAAGTGCAATAGTTCAGCAATAGATTATTAGCTATTAAAGCGAAAAATATTAAAATGTAACACACAAGTAAAAAACCTTATTATTACTATTTTAATTTCCGGGGTGATATAATTTCACATCCAGTGTACAATTTGTATGACAATGACATTAAGCTAAGAAAAATTCAATATTTAGATACACAAAGTAAAAACCTATGTCGCGATATGGCTTTCCGGCCCTCGCGACACGCTGCCGTCGGCAAGTGACCAGTTGTCAATTGCCGACGCCAGCGTTCCGAGGCTATAAAATGGCGAGGACATCGCACCTCACCCCTCTTATTACACGTCTACCTGCCGGAGCCATGCCACCCACTCCCAGAACGTAGGGTCCACTACGCGGGTAAGTGAATTTATTAAAACATATTTAAAATATACTCTCTTTTCTTCCTGCACGAGTTTGTGGGGTCCTCCCTCTCCCCCTCAACTCACGACACTACTTCTCTCTCTCGCAATATATCGTGACCTCCCTCCGGCCATGGGATGATCACACACATTTTTACTTAATTTTCCTCTACGGATTTTAATTGGACACGGACCCTGCTTCTGCATTCAGACATCAGAAAGACCAGGTTCAGTGCTTTTTTCAATGATAAGAACAACCATAATTTATTATTCAAGCAAGAACTACAACAGCTAAACAAGCAAAGGATTCTTGAATAAACTAAATAATTCCTCCGCCCGGCCTCGGGCGCGGACGCTGGTCGGGAAGGCGCCGGCGGCAGACGCGGGCAGCGTCTGCGAGGTCCATGCTGAGGGCGCGTCGGCACTGGCACTGCGAGCAAATCAGGTGCCCGATGTCCTCTCGCCTCTGGCTTGTAGCGTCTGGGCGAGTCGGCTTTACCGAGGACTCGGCGCTATGTCGCGACGTCACAACAAGCGGAGCGGGCGTGGCCTAGCCTCGGTCTGCGTCTGGGCAGGCGTGGGCAGGCGCGTCGTCAAGGCAAGTGGCTATGATGTGGCGTCCTGTCGCCGTGGGCGTGCGGCAACCTTGCGACGCAGGCTCCGTCCCGTCGGCTATGACGAACACGCGCCTCTGTGACGTCCTCCTGCAACAACCTGGCGACGTAAGCAACGCCTGGCGGGGGCACGTCGACGTGGAGACAGCAGTTCGGGCGCGGGGTCCTCCAACCACGATAGACGTCCACGCGGTTCCGTCGACCTTCTCCCAAGTCGTCACGCTCCACTCTCGGAAACAAACTGAACCCTGCTGTGTCGAACGACTCCTCGCTCCCTCCATTGCCGCTTTTCGCACTGCTGCTACTTGACTGCCCGTCGCACTTCCCCACTACGCTGCCCCGCCTTGCCATCCCACCGTCGTTCCACCGCACGCACACCGGAGTAACGTAGGGCGTGACGTCTCAATATATTTATACCCCAAGATTATACAAGATTATACATTATATATATAAAAATATATATATATATATATATATATATATATTGAAGCGAAGAACGTTTCTGTATTAGAACAATTAAAATTGATCACTAATTATAATTAAAATAAAGTACTGGAGTTTGATGCAGCGCAGTAACGCCCGCGCCGCACCAACGGTCAAATTTGGGGGGTTAACGGCGAGGCGGAGCGATGGTTAGAGAGTAGTGCGCAGAGGGGCCTCGAGTGAAGCACGGACGGGCAGTGGCTGCGTCGCAAGAGATTAATTGTCCGTTGTTAATGCAGTTCGGATGAGTGTGGCGCTGATGTGGACCCAGGTTTGTTAAAGATTAACAATCAGGTGTTAGTGGAAGTAGAATTGTCGGAACACGAAACTGTAAAAACCAATAAGACAGGAAATCGTGTGGCGGTGGGCTCGTGGTAGATAATGCCCCTGGGTGTAATTATAATAGTGGGTGTAACTGTACGGACACCGCGCAAGTTGGCAAGGCCGCTGAAGACTAGCAACAGCCGACCAACATGACTCCGCATCGTGCGTTCCAATCCGTGAGACATTGTTCACACGGCCTGGGTGGCCCCGGCGGATTATCGGCCGTTACGTTCGGCAGAGGAGTTCGTCGCCGAGGAGGGCGAATTCCGCGGCGGACATCGGGGCGAGCCGAAGAATTGCCGAAGACACCGCGCGCTGCCACGGGGCCCGGTCGCCTCCAGAGGAAGGCAGGTGTTTTTAAAACATCAAGGTAGCGTTTGACGCGTGCGCTTTTGTTTCCAAGGCCTGCGCATTGCGATTTGTAATACTATTTGTAAAGTGTGTCTCTGATATTAAAATTATTAGATGTGCAAAAGAATTTATAACGATTATCTCTATGCTGCGCCAAATTCTGGAGACCCATTCACGAAAATGTCCTGTCGCTTGCATAATTTATTTGTCGTGAAAGTAACCGCTTCCCTTCGCTATATTTATATATATATATATATATATGTGTGTGTGTGTGTGTGTGTGTGTGTGTGCACCAAACAACCCCAGCCGCCCACGTAGCTACTCAGATACGTCCCCGTAATGTATGCTCACAGCGTGGTCACTGCGAAAGAGCGCGGTCTAGTATCTGCTTCCCGGAGCTTGTCAGCGGATTTACAATTTATGTCGAGCGCGAGAGGTCAGTCGGTAGGGGTTGTGACGAGATGTTATCCCTCCAGGAGAGGTCGGGAACTGAATGCTTCTTCTTGTTGAGAAAGTCGTCGACGAGTTTGGTTTTGCGGTTTCCGGTGCGTAAAGTAAGAGTGAGAAACGCCGTCTTGGTGTGTATTTGAGAGGAAGTAAATGATCGGGAAGAGAGTAGTAAGAAAGTAGAGAAATCTATTATTTAGACCTGTGAATAAGAGGGTGATTTATAAACTGTGGAGATTTCACAAGTAAATGAGTAAGAGGCAAAATAGTGGCCGCGAAGTGAATACTCGAATTGCTGTGAGACTACGAGAACTATTAAAATTAGCTGCATGAGTGAGAATGCCCGGGAAAGAATACGCCGTTTATCATAGACGCGTAAGAACTGTAATACGCGTCGAGGTGAAGTACGACGTGCACGACAAGGTGAGCCGGAAGTAAGAAGAGGCTAGTTTTCTGTTCTGGTGCCGGGCGAATCAAGAAACAATTCGAGAGCAGATTCGACCGGGGTCTGGTGGAGGGCGAAAAGAAGATGGCGCTTCGAGCGGCATCGCAGGCTGCCAGTT